TGCGGTATGTAGTTCCTATGGTTATTGCTTCAAGATAGTGCTTGTCTTAGGCTTTTAGGTGTCACCTTCTAATAAACGTTTTGATTTTAGCCCAGAGTTTAGTCTGAGTACTTTAACCTGGAGTTCAGTAGCACGATCATTTCATGTTATAAGTGAAACCACAACTAGATAAATATAGTTAAACCTGTAATCAGATTATAAAGCATTTTTCCACAATTTCCCAGTCCAAAACCTCTTCTCATTTATTAGGCAGGTTAAACTATTGATTTTTGAACCGCAACCCTATCGCAGTGCCCTCGGTTACTGCGCCCTTGCACTTCGCTAGGGTGTAGCTAAATTATTGTTTAGAGGGGGTGGCCTTTTAAAGCGGGGAAACCCCAGCTATTGTGAACAGCCGATTTCCCGCTATCCGCCATTTTAATGTCCTTCCATAGCACGTTTTCTTTACATGTGTGTGGGTGAGTATGGTGTAAATTGTAAGAGTCAGCTGGTGAATAGTTCTTCTAATGAATGCAGATAAAGAAATATTGACAGATTAAATCTGTTTTAGATTAAGTATTAGCAAATCCTGAGTACCTAATGTGAAGACTATATTTCCTGTTCTGGCATACCATAAGCTGACCCTTTAGACCTTTCAGATGATACTGTATCTTTACATGGACAAACTATTGGTGTCTTAGACCCATGGCGAGGTGCTTAAAGAGAGATATTGTGGAAATAGAAGATCTAAGTCAAATCTCTATTAATTTGTTGATACTAGTGATTCTTTTAACAGAGGTGCTATCAATTAGGGGTTGTTTTAACAGTATTAAACTAGGTGATTTAAACATCTCGCTACTAGTCTACAACTTGGGTCACGCACAATTTTTTCACTGTGTTTAACATTAAGGTATGTACAATTATAGACAGTCGTGTGTGTGATCATTCCATGGGCTTTTATTACTGTTCACTGTATTTTTCTATTGTCCTCTTGTCGGCCTAAAAGGGCGACCAGTGTCATATTTAGAGCACTGCCGCCTTTTTTAGAGTGCCTTTTTGATACTCCATAATGTCTTTGAAAAAGAGGTAATGGCTCGATTTTTTGGCTTTGAAGTTGTAAAGAAATTCTTTTATTTGTTTATTGCATTGCGTAGGACTAAAGGTAATGTTACAAATGTTAATTTTAATCACGAAAGCATACTTTAATAGGGATGATGACAGGGTATGAAAAATAAAAATCTAATTAGTCAATTAGGTAATGAAAAAATATTAGACACGTATTTTTTATTTTGTTGTATAATAAAACAATACTTAGATATAACGAATCAAAGCTTAGGAGTGGGGGCTAAAACATCATTTCTACGTATAAAATATACATAGAAGTGACGTCACGCGACATTTCAAATCAATATATCGTCGAAAGTATTCGTTTCTATAAAAAATAAAAAAATCCGTGTCTAATGATTTAAAATAATCTACCGGACGGACATTAAAATAAAAATTCGTCATCTACCCTATTGAGCATTTGTCACTTAGAACCATGTTTTTCGGAATGCTGCTCAAAATTATTATGCTCATTTCAGGCATGTTTGCGAATCGACAGGCGTTCGATTTTTGAATATTTTTGAGCATGCTCAATAGAACGCCTTTAAGGATGCTATTTTAGAGTGGAAGAGTATCATTATTATATTATTTTTTAGAGGTGTACCTGTACTTTACTTTAGGTCACTTTGTATGGTTTTTAGTTCACCGATGTCCTGTCCACAGTAAGCTTGACTTCCATTCACAGTTATGTAGCTCGCTTTTGTCTTTTGAACCAATTCACACTACATAGTATAAAACAAAGTCGCTATCCGCCATCTGTTTGTCCCTATGTATGCTTAGATCTTTAAAACTACGCAACGGGTTTTGATGCGGTTTTTTAAATAGATTGAGTGATTCTTAAGGAAGGTTTATATATAAAATATATGTATATTGCAGCCGTGCGATGCCGAGCGGGTCGCTAGTTAACTATACACTTTGATTCAATTCTAATCTAGATTCTATATTTGCATAATTAACAAATAAATCTGCAATTTCAAGTTTGAAAGCTCAACTTTATGTATATGCATAGATATCTTAGTAAGTATCACTTGAAGTATATTAAACTATCAGGGGTCTGTCAGTCCGTCATTTAGCAGTTATTACGAGGGTGAAGCAGCCATTTTGTCTCGAGGAAGTCTGAAATCTTTGGGTCTTGATGTCTTTGTTGGTGTTGTAAATTTTGGATTAGGGAATATAATGTGATGGTTGGTATTTCTCGGAGGGATTTGCTGAGGTAAATTTACTATACCTAACTGATCATGAGTTTTTTTTAATTGTCATATTCTAGTTATTCATTGTAGTGTGGTGGCGAGTTATTGAAGCGTTAATTACAGTTATAGTACAGATACTATCCATGAATTTTGTTATATGTATTTATTCAGTATTCAGTTTTAGTAAACCTAACGTAAATGAAAATAGTTTAAAATTATCTTAAAAGTAATATAATAGAATAAAGCTGTTTTAAAATGTTGCGTTATTGTAAAATCGATGTGCTCCTTTAATATTAGATCAGTCTCCAAAACTTTAAGGTCAAGAAAAAGTTCTTGCTATTGTGAATTGAGACATTAATATATTTTTCTTTCTCTTAGCATTTTCATAACAATGTCGGGGTCAACACGAACTCCATCCATAACAAACGGCTCGTTCCAACTAAGGACCGCCATTTAACGACATTAAAGAGCATTTATCGACCAGAGGGGGACACGCGATCATTTTTGGATTATAACCGGTCCAGATAGGCGAATTAATTAACGACATGACCAGTTTAATAAGAGCCCTGTCATTCTAACTGCAGCCTTTAATTTTCATCATTATTCTTTGGTAGTCGCGAGAAGAGGCGGCTCAAACTGGTTACGCCCGGTTTGCGCCGGTCATAACTGGACGTTCTTTGAGGGATTATGGACGAAACGTGTTTGCGAGGGGGGATGAGACGTTTTTACGTAATTAGTGGTGCAAGTGGGTTCTGATAAGTGCTACTACAGTGCAGTGGTGGTCGGTAAGGGATATTGTAAGAGGATTACGTTCGGAGCTTTAGGGAGGACAAAATAAGCTGTTGAAATCGGTTCACTGCGCAAAGAATCGGTATAAGCTGTACAAAAATTCATTCACGAACGATACAAAAACGAATATAAGACGCAAAAATTACCATTCACTTTGTTCATTCAATTGGAGACGTATGTAAACAAAATGAAACGTATTTTCGTTTGGGGAAATGTGGAAAATCTCCATCGGTCCTATTCTGACAGAACATAGCAGAAAATGTTAAAAAACGGTATTAAATCGTAGGGGTTGTAACACAATGGGTGTCTGCAGTTACAGGTACGAATATCATTCAAAAAAGTGACGGGAAATGGGAAAATCAAAATTCTCGTGCTTTTCAAAAACAGATAGGTACCTATGATACAGGCGAGGGGGATTTACAATGTCCGACCGTGAAGCGAAAAGGGGCTACACAGGGTGTGCTTTTTATTCTTTTCTATCTTTAAATTAATGAGCAGTTTGAATTGAATTTACAGGTACAATTTTACGAGCTTACATTTTTATTTTGAAACAGCATGTATGTAGAATTGCTCTGAAATTTTAATTAAATGGTGTAATGTTTTAGAAAAAGATTTAATTGTTATAAAAAATTGAGAACAGGTGAATTCGTTGCTATGATCCTTTCATATTTTAATTTGGTTTTATGTTCACTGAACTTAAAGCCCAGTTGTTTTGTATACAGTTTTTACACAAACAAAAACCATGTTTCCAGTTCAATCAGATCGGAAACAAACATGGTTGGAAGAGTCCATTGTACGTCCATCTTATTCCTTCCCCTAACTTTGAAAAATGGGGAGAATACAAAGAAAGCGCCCATTATGAAATATTTTGAATATTTGTATTTGATTCCTCTTAAAACAGTCTATATTAGAACAGTCTTGCAAAATTGCTATCAAATTTTTGCTAACATGACATCTAAGTACAGAAGTTTAAGGTCTATTTTGCGCTGGTTAGGGGAAGGTCCGAGGGTTTCTCCGTAAATTTTTAATTCCACAGTTTAGAGGATATTTGCTCAGGAATTCGCTCTATGGAGATAGGTTTTTATTCGTATTTTATGGTTTCTATATACGTGAGCCTCGTGATGGCGTCTCGATAGCGATCGTAAAGTCAGCCGTCTGGTCAGAGGTATGGTCTTATCGATTTTGTCTTAGTATTTGAACCTTTAATAAAATAATGTCCTAACATTCGACAAGCTTGCAATTTATTGAGCTCAAAATTACTGCAGGTAATTCCAATTAATTAACTATGAATATAAGTTTCTTAGAATTTGGATTGTATAGCAATTTGCATCATAAACATTACTTAGTTGGACATTGAACAGCTGTATCAAAGGTACTCAAACGGGATTTCCGTGAAAATGTTAACAATTTAACGATAGCTATATTTTTTTTTTATGGCATAAGCCGGTAAACGGTCAGACGGATCACCTGATGGTAAGCAATCGGCGTCGCCCATGGACACCTGGAACACCTGAGGCGTTACAAGTGCGTTACCGGCCTTTTGGGGGTTAGGATTTTGATGATCGTTGGGGATTCAGGGATTGGGGAGATTGGGGAAAGGGAGGGTAATTGGGCCTCCGGTAACTTCACTCACACGACGAAACACTACGCAAGCGTTGCTTCACGTCGGTTTTCTGTGAGGCCGTGGTATCACTCCGGTCGAGCCGGCCCATTCGTCCCGAAGCATGGCTCTCCCACACTTGTATATGTATGTTCCATAGATTTTACTAATTTTTTGCACATGTGTTCTGAAGTTAGCCGTCCAGGGTGGAGTGATGACATCCGCAAGGTGGCTGGTAGTGATTGGATGAGAAGAGCTGAAGTGGCGTACCATATGTTCAGCAGTGGATGAACACAGTCTGATGATGATGATGATGATGTGTTGTGAAGTTTCCTTACCTCTAGTGCCGATGATAAAGACGCCTTCTCCTGCTTCAGAGTTTCCACGCGGCTCTTGTATTGCAGCAGCGATCGCACTGTCTCCTCCATCCTGAAACAATACAGAGAAAAACATTCGTTACAGGCTATTTATGTTATCAATGATGGTTAAAATAAATAAAAATTTGTTCGTGTGTAAAACTTCAAGATTCTAAATTAATTTCGGCTTATACACGTAACTGTTTGACGAGGGACTCGACTAGTTTCAAGCCATGCAAGGGACTCATATTCATGAGCAGTATTCCGCGACTACTGCGCTGCTACTCAATATGAGCGTCTAGCATGGTTTGAAACTAGTCGAGTTCCTCGTCAAAAAGTTAGGTGAGTTAGCCGAAAACATAATGATTAACTCAAGGCAGTAATTAAAAGTTAAGGTATTACGTGCTCGTTTTATTTCTTTTGCAGGGTTAAGTGACGTGTAAGGATAATCTAATTTGTTAATGAGCGGGTAAAAAACCAGTCAGGCATAGAGCTAGACTCAGCCAGTCAGTTCTAATTTTCATATCTCATATGACCATCTGGAAGGCTAGTAACATCACATAACCATTATAGCCACACATATAATTAAATAACCGCCAGACCACCGTCCAAGTTCAAAGCGAACAAGTTTGAGATCACGGTCGCATAACACTCCCCGCCGCAGTCGGGTAAGTCTGCCAAGTTGTTACCTCGCACGTGACTTGAACACGAAACTCGGTGTCAGTTTCACTTACAACACTTATTTCCGAAATTATCCGTGTTAAGTGAGCATAGATGGCGCTAAGATCGAGTTTGGGGACGGTTTGTTTGATAGTTCAGAACAGGTGTAACTTTGAGGAGAGTTGGTGAGGAATATTCTCGATTGAATTTCATAGACTACCACGTTGGCCGAGTGATTGCATGTGCTGAGCAAGGGGTCTCGGGTTAGATTCCCGGGTCGGACAAAGTAATACTTTACTAATCGTTTTTTTTAATATCAGTAGTAGTACGGAGTCTGAAATTGTGTCCGGTATATGCCAAGGCAATAGGCTCAACCCCTATTACATGGGACTTTTAACATAAATAATGAAAGTGGGTATTACATTGTACAGTGGCATTAAGTGCTGTATTGTGCACCTCTGCCTACCTCTACGGGGATAACAGGCGTGATGTTATGTATGTTATGAATTTCATAGGTCACTGATAAATGGATCTGTATAAGAATTATGACTAAACTTTGTGTCATGATTCGTTAGATATTTGTTTAAAAGTTTGTCTTTATATTTAAAGGTCGTCCTTTCCACTAAGCTTCGCTATCATGTTCATTCTTTAAAGTCATACTATCACAAGCTTGCATTTAAACGTATTAAATATAGCATAGAGCACGTCCATTTCATTTTCCAGACAAAAAATCTATCTAAAACAACAAAAGACAAAGGATCTTACGGGACACTTCATTATGCAGATGGATCAAGCTGGGTATTTGCATATTCTGCGACAGAGCGAGACAAAAAATCTTTTCTTGTGAGCAAGAAGAAGATAGACGAAGTGCACTTGACGCATGTCGACACTTCATTAGCAAGAGACGTCCGTTCGCGAGAGCGCATCAACGTCAAATGACGGTGAACGTGAAGAATGATACTTGTTTCTTTTTTAGTGTTGCTAGTTTACATAATAAATATTCGGTGGATAGATTTTGTTTTTAAATTTAAAATTTATGTTTATCGTCAAAGGGGTAGGCAAGCAGTATTTCCTACTTCTCCAGTTCACTTTAGTAAAAAAAAACACCAAGTATTCATCAAACAAAGTAGGCTGCTAACATAGCAAACATTCAAAGTAAACTAAAGTCTAATTTGGGATGATTCCCAAATGACATTCCACTAATTACAGTTCAAATATTTGTCCTTGCATAACGCGGTTTCAAAATCCATGAATTTCCAAAAACCCTATTTAACCAAAGGAAGACATCTTGAATTATGAAAATCCACACCAAGGCACAATACCATACAGCCTAATCTCAGAAATTAATCAAAAACGAGTTGCAATTTTAATATTTAATTCAGTGGAGGCTGTATTAAGGCTTTGTATTACAAAAGATACCTTGAAAGCCTTGGAAGATAATTCCTGAAACAAAAACCCTTCAAAATGATTATTCTCCCTGTTTTAATTATTAATACACTGTAGCGGGTTGAGATTAGAGTATTAGGGGACGTTAAGGGTACAACTGAATGTTACGTTTAGTAACTGAAGACAACCGGTCAAATTGCTTAAGAAATTAACCTGAAATTGTTCAGGCGTTTAAGTTAATTATTTTAATTGTTATTGACATTCTATTTGGAACAGGTTAGTTGGCAGATTGGTCTTTGAACGATAGGCAAAAAAGTAGGTATTTTATAAAGATGTTTTTGATAAACAATTTATTGGAAGTAGTTTTGTGCTACTCTTAAAAATATCAGTATAGGTAGTACCGGTTTTGTAGACACAATTATAGAACAATAGGTTGCGGTCACCGGTGACCGCTTGGTGTTTGACAGTATATATATTCTTGATTCATTTATTGTCTGTGTTTTAATTATACCAAAACTGAATACAAATTATAAACAAGCCAAAATGAACAAGCGCAAGTCGTGAAAGACTTTGTGAAATAATGTGTTTACTAGTTTAAAATTCAACAAAATAATAAAAACCACATAAATCTCATCTTTGTTACAATAGAAGAATTGGGACATTCGCGTTTGGTTGCCACTTCATTATTAACTCGTTTTGTAACGAATCCTTTTATTATAAAACTGGCAACTCTATTCCACAGATACTGAATAATGGAACTTTTTCAATAACTCTGAATATAATGAATTCTCTCCACCCACTGTAAGATATTCACTTTTTTCTAACTGGCAACACAGAACTCTTTGATTAGAATCATTTTAAAATTCGAAACGGCTGTGTTCGATTTTTAATATCAGCGATTCGGGTTGATTAAAATGTTGTCGATGAAGAATTTTTAAGTTGAGTAGAATATATTTTGTTGGAAATGAAAAGTTTTCTTGATTATATTTGTTTGGAATTAAATAAATTGAAGAAAATTGAAAAGCAAAGTATGTGCAATGTTAGATATAGACTAGCGACCCGCACCGGCGTCTCACGGGCGTAATATGCATTTATTATACATATAAACCTGCCTTAAGAATCACTCTATCTATTAAAAAAAACCGCATCAAAATTCGTTGCGTAGTTTTAAAGATCGTGCGTATGCTTAATACGGACAGACAGAACAGACAGACGGTGTACAGCGACTTTGTATTATACTATGTAGTGATAATACGAGATACATCTTAGTGTCTGTTGTATATACATCATATTACTTTTTACTCTCAATAAATCAATGAATCGGGCATTAGAATTAAATTTTTCTTACTAACAGTTTGTTTGTCTTTAGGGTAATTGTCACGTGGAAGCGGCATGAAAACTTAATGTAACCATGTTTTTACTTTACATAAACTCACATGAAATACCATAACAAATTGTTTTGAACTTGAGACCATTTTTATAACTAAATCAATGACTAGTCTTTACTAAAATGTATGCAACCCATGCGGTAATATTCATTTTAAAATAAAAAAAATCACAAAACTCAAACGAGAGACTAAGTTAAATACAATTAATCATAGGAAAATTAATTTTTGGGGCAGCAATTGAACCTTTTTCGCGTATTTCCCACGTGGCATATCTAGTTGGTTGGTCCGAGGCTCGATTACCTTACCCAGCCTTATTACACTGTAATTTAATGTTTTTTGTTTTTTTTTCGGCGCTGTTTTTTTACGCTGGCAATGTTTTACTGCGGCCAGTCACGGCAGTATCGACCGGGGTGTGTACCTATTTTTGATTAATTTCCACACGTTTTGCTTGTAAAAAAGGAATTTTGTTTTGGTTTTCTTGGTGATGTATTTTCGGTAAATTGGTTTGGGGATAATAGTTTACTATCCATGTCACTAAATCTATTCGTCGATAGATAGATAGTCGGATAGAATGTGTCGATTTTAGTGTTACGCATAATCTGTAATAATAAAAAAGTGTTCGGTTAGACTCGTCTTTATTACAACGGATCTAATAATGTAATAGGTGACAGAGGGTGCATTGTAAATGCTTACTAACTTCTCCATACAGAGAATAACATGTAACAGTGTTATGAAAACGGACTCTGTATGAAAACCAATGTAAAAACTAACTAACGCTAACACATACTTTTTCCCAGACACTCATAAAAAGGCACTCAGACACAATCACAGTTGTCGATCCCTAAATGATCTTTTTATTAAAAAATATAAAAAATGGCTGTTTAAACCGAGCTGGGTAAACAATTACCATTTTTTACGAAGCTAGGCAAACATGGCCGCGTCCCCGGGTCCCCCTGTCGCGACAAATTACGTCGCATTCAACCCTTGACCAGATGAGAGCTCGTAAATCTTATCTATTAAAACCTGTGTCCGTACGTTCTGCGGTATGGTATATGTTGGAGGAATGTGGCTTATTTTATGGTCAAGAAAACTACCAATTTTATCTTTTAGCTTTATGACTGAGATGAAAACATATTTCGTATATAATTTTACTTATTTTGATTTTTAAGTGCGAAACTAGTAACTTCAGTATGATCTATTCATCTAGGTACAACATCAGAGCTCTCTGCTGGTCTATGGCCCTCGTTTGCATAAAAAGGGTGTGCATAATCACGCTTGGCGGAGGAGTTAGAGATTTCAGTTTAAACAGGTTCAAGTTTAAATGTGGATTTAAGTCAAACAATTTTTCAAAATCGCTTCTGTTCATAATTTAGCCCTCGTCTCCCCATATCGATGTATTTGCCTAAACGCGGACATTACATTCAAGCCACGCGCCTCGCATTGTCGCCACTGCGTCACAGAGTACAAGCTAATGCAGAAGTAATTGCTCATTCTATATCAGTTAGTCTGTGGCATTTGCATGATGGCCGAAACATTCGTGAATTTTTCGCCTTTCAATAAAAAAAATGTAGATTTAAAAATAGAAGCGCGGTAATTTATTATTAAATTATGATTGGTGAATTTTATTCATAAAGGAAGG